ATTGCTGCAGGGGGCAGAGCTGCTGGATGGCCATCAGAGGGGACATAGGGAATAAATTTGGATACCTTCAGTAGATTTTTAGTGTTTACAGCAGCAATGCTGCTGCTTTCCTCTCGCTCCTGTCAGAGATGTGGTTTTGCTCCAGCTCCTCCTGTGCTCAGGGCAGGAGAGGTCTGGCACTCCTGCTGCCCTGGGGTTCTGTGGGGCTCCCTGAATGGTTTGCAGTGATGCAGCTCCACTGGCACAAAGCTCTGGCCATGTTCCAGCACAAAGCAAAGCTTGTCTGAAGCAGCTTGCTCTGAAAAGAGTCTGCAAGCAGTACAGATGCCCTCGTGGAGAGGGGTTCTCAGGACTGGATCTCAGCTGTATTGACAATCAGCTTTTTGTTCATGTACTTCCCTGAAATATTCTTTAATAGTGGCTTTGAAGAGTCTTTAGCAGAGATCATATTTCTGGTTTGGGATTCCCTTTGTACATCTTTCATTAATGCAGGGATTCTCCGCAATCAGAGACCAGCACCACAGAACAGCTGGATCCATTTTGGCTTGACAAGGGGCATGGGCATTTCTTATATATATATATATATATATTTATGGCTTTGTGAACATTCAAAATGCTTTTTATAAATATTAAAAATATAATCAAGGGTTATGGAAAGAATTCATCCTGCATTGCCATCATCTGCAAGAGTTCTTCCATCTTCCTCTAGAATATGTATTACTGGCTGACACTGTGAGCTGGCTGGTCCAGCCTGGGAATTCCTAGCTGCAGCTAGGGGAGGGGGAGGCTGGGAAGGGAACTGGTATCTCTTGATGATCAGAGAGCAGATGGAGCCCAGGCGGCAGCCTGGCTGCCCCAGGAGCAGGGCAGAGGCAAGAACTCGTGAGCAGGCACCTCCAGAGGCTCCCAGGGCTTTGCTTCGCCCCTGCACCCGCTGGGCTTACTTGGGAGGTTACTTGCCCTGCTTGTCTCGAGGTAGCTGGAGCTGAGGCATATGTTTCCCATTTGGAGCTTGGAGGATGCCCAGGTCTGGCTTGGCACGCTGTCTGCACTGGGCATCAGCAGTACAGATGTGGAAACCACAAACCCGATTAATATGAGCCTAGAGTAAAAACTCAAATAAGCTTATAAATAAAACCAGACTTGCAGATTATTTGTTTCCATATTAGTCTATAATAGACCCTACTCAATATGTTTGTTTTATTTGGTTTGGTGACCGACATAGGTATTTATATTTCCAATAAAAATTTAAATCAGAATACAACAGATGAAGTAAGCTTCAATTATTTGTGCAGAAGATGATTGCAACTGTCTGAAGCATGTAATTCCTTACATGAAATGTCAGCCTGCTTTGAACAGAGATGTGACAGACTTCTCAGTATTTAATTTCCCATTCCATCATAGCTCCAAATTCTACATTTGTATATTAAAATAGACTCCTAAATGGACTCTAATCCTCAGTGAGTAATCTAGAGGTGTTGGATGGCTTGGTGGGTCTAATTCTTGGTGTAAGCACCATCTGTGTGATCTTGGGTGAGTCACTAAACTATCTTAGCTTAACGTGGTGACTGTCTTTTTATCCCTGCCAGGCTCCTGCTGAGCTCTGAGCTTGATGACCTCAGGTGCTCCTTTCCAGTGCACCTTCAGCTGCAGGTAATGGAACCACGCAAAGAAGAGTTCCAAGGAACCATCTGAGGGGATTCTGCAGGAGTGCTGACAGACAGTCTACTCAGTGGAGGAGAAGAAGTTCCTGGGAACTGATGGCTCTTAATCCAAGGTGAGATTGCCTTGATTCAGCTCCATTCAAACACAGCTGTAGCAGGAAAATGCTATGGTTAGTCAGCAGTAGGGCATCTGGTTTATTCTGCTGTACTGTGACCCTTAGTTTGGGACACCTGCACAAAGCCTGACAAATCTCTGCAGTGACACTGCCTGTGCCAGGGCCTTGTCCATGCTGTGCTGGGCAGGGTCTCCAGGGGATCAGTCAGGCCTCCTTGCCTTCAGGTGGTGATGTGGGTGGAACTGGGCTTCACTGCCCTAGAGCTCCTCTTAGACAGGGAAGGGAAATAAGCACTCCTGCACGCTGCTCTGGATCCCACAGTGTATCCAGGAGCATGCCTTTCCTGTATCCCAGTGGGATCAGCCTGGGCCCTGGATAAGTGTTTGCAGTGACTTCTTTGTGCTAGTGGGGCTCTAAGACAAATGAATAAATAAACAGTGCTCTCTTCCCATCTTTGCCTTGCAAAAACAGAAGGGAAAAAACTTTCACACCCTTTGTTAGGACGTCAGTGCCAGAGGAAAGACCCCAGCCCTTATTCCATTGAAACCTCCTGTTTTCATTTCCAATTGTTTCTCTGGGTTCCATTTTTTTGACATTTTTTTCCCCTCTTCAGCTGGTTGAGCCATGGTCTCTTCTTATGAAACAAGTTTTCAGCTCCATAACGGTCCTGACTTCTCACCATTTGAAAGGCAAGAGGGTCACTCAGAGTAAACTGTCTCGTGCTAGGGAGTGTTTTTCTACATGGAAATGTTGGAGGGCCACTCTGTGCTGTCAGCCCAGAAAGGCCAGAAGATGCCTTCAGACTCCCCAGGTGCCTCTGTGTTTGTTTTCTAATGTTATTCCACACACAATATCATTAATATTATGTCCAAAGCTTGTCTTTCTGAACAGAGTCAACACATCTAACCTATTAGTCAGCCACTGGGAAACAGGAAAGGATTAAGTCAACACTGTGAGGAATTAACCCTTTTCATTGCCCAGAGAAGAAATCAAAGAGGATACAACCTCCTTAAATTGCAGAAGGGACTGGATTGTTTTCTGTCCCAAAGCAGTGGAGATGTTTCCTCTCCCCTGGCTCTCGGCTGTAAATGGTGTCCTGCAGGACTGGGACAGGACCGGTGACTAACGAGGCATCGCTCCCTTTCCCGTGGCACACGCCACTGAAGGGCAGGACATCTCCCCAGCCACCTTCCTCCTGTTTTGACTCTCCATTCCCCCGTGGGCCGCTCAGGTGCCGGGCTGGGCTTGGCACGCAGACACAATTGGAACCGTGGCGAGACTGCAAAGTGTCCGAGCGCTGAGTGAGCGCCCAATGGGCCGTGGCGAAAGGCACAACCAAGTCAAAGGGAAATGGAAAGCATTTCAGAGAATTCATCTTTGCATCCCTTTTCCCTCTCTTGATATATGGCCCCTCGCTCCCAGCCGCCCGGCCCGGCCCCCTGTAAATATGTCAGTGCACCAATGAGACGGAACACGGCGCAGGAACGCCGGGGCTGCTCCCAGATAAAACAGAGCTGGAGCCCAGCACTTTATTGTAAATAAAGATCAAGGCAAAGCAGCAACGTTTCTGTTCAACTCCAGCCTGCCAAGGTTGCTGGTCCAGCTGCTCTCATGACTACCATATGTCCACATGGATTTCCCCTTGCACAGATGACATGTTAGTCCTGACAGCTCCATAGCCTTTGCAGAGTTCCTCACAGACACTCTCCATGTGCTGCTTCCCAATCACCTGGAAGCACTGGTGGCACAGGGGGCAGTGGGTGCACGTGTGGGCATGGAGGGAGAAGAGAACTTCCAGCTGCTCAGCTCTGATACTGCTGAACCTGAGCAGTCCCTGTGTGGGCCCGGGACATGTTAATGCTTCCTTTGGTTCTTCTCAGCAGAGGGCACTGGATCCTGGAAATGGGAGTTGATGCTGGGAAGCACAAGGACCTGATTGCTTTAGCAGATGGACTGATTTTTTTCCTTCTGGATGCTGTTGGTGTGGAAGAGAAGTCTGCAGCTCTGTCTGCTGCTTGCTGATTGACAGAGAGACAACCATGGTATGTGTCAGCAGGTGATAAACTTGTCCTTTACATGTATTTTTTATTTTAATTAAAGTGGTAGCTACAAAAATCAGTTATCTGGAAATCAGGTTGGCTAAAGTACCACCCATCTGGCATCCTTCTGAACAACAGCACCAGCCAGCTGACACACTGGAGGGAGATGCAAACACCTACAGACTGAACAGCCAGGCTGGGGTGGAAACTGGTTGTGCTGTTCAGGCTTGTCCCTGCAGTCCACAGGGAACATATAGGAGTGGTCTGAGGGGAGCTGGCTGAATCAGGGAGTTTAGCCCTTGATTTGAAGTCCACAATTTCATTACAAAGTCATCATCTTTTTCAGTGAGTTCATCTTGTTCTCAACAATACCCACATACAATGCACTTCACTCTCCCTCTTCCACCACTGAGTTCCCTTTGCTGTGTGCTGGGGTTTGCATTTTCCTCACTGATGGCTCATGTGAGCTGTAAGCCAGAGAGACTAACAAAAAAATATTAGGATTGTATATTTTTCAAATTATTTTTTAAGTTCATATGGATCTTGTGCATGTATGTTGTAATATGACTCTTTTAATAATAGAGGTTTTAATGCTAATAAGGAACATATATTAAAAAGACCTTCCTAAGTCTTCATCTGGTACTTTTGTAATATGTTGAAGATTTGGCACAATTTACTCATATAACTCAAGAAAAAGAATTCATTCTTCACACTGACAGCTACTGACCTAAGTTCTTGAGCTGACCTAGGATGCTTCACTTCAGATGAGAGCCCCAAATGCAAGAAACTTGAATCCTTCCACAATATCTGCTTTAGCTCTGCTGAAGAAAACTTCCAGGCAATGGTGTTTCCCCAGAGCCGCTCGCAGTTATTCAGGGTTTCATCCTTCCATAGCAGCACATCCCACCACACCCCAGGACTGCCAGGCCCAAACCAGAGCTTAAATGTGCTGGGAAACCTGGCAGTAGCTTCCAGCATCAGCTGGGGGAGAGGAGCTCTCCCCCAGCCCTCCCTGTGCCAGGTGAGAGTGGTGCCTGTGCCTGGGCAGTGCCCTGAGGGGCAGGGGGTGCCCGGGCAGTGCCCCCAGAGCAGGGAGTGCCTGGGCAGTGCTCTGAGGGGCAGGGGCTGCCATTGCAGTGCCCTCAGGGCAGGGGCTGCCGTCAGGCAGGAGCCTGGATTGCTGAGGGCTGCACTGCTGGTCTCTTTATTAAATAGGTCAGCAGGCCCTGACAGTTGGCACCCATCTGCAGCCTGGGAGCTGTGTGATGAAAGCCATATTATGGCAGGCTCCAGGGTATCTTTTCATCTGTCCTACTTGGTGCGGCATGTTCCAGCTGGAGACTGGCAGGGTGCTGGTGCTAAACCCTGCCCTGCTGCTGTTCCCTGGTGACAGCAGCAGTATCCTGGCTCCTCATCCTGTGTTCAGATCCCAGCTCCCTTTGACTGCCATGGAAACTGCTGCTGCCATCACAGTTCTGGGATACACTGAGATTTTCAGACTCAGGCACGTTGTTCTGGGAAGGGAGGAACCTCTCTGCAAACTGATGTGCTCTTGAGGTGCTTCCTGTAGTCTGTATTAGGCTACACCAGGTCTGCATTTTGGACCATCTTCTCCTTCCACTGCAGAAGCCTGATGCTGTACCTGGTTTTGGTGCTGTACATCCTTATTCCTGAACACCACTCAGCAGAGAGGTAAGGAGATGATAAACTTGGCTGTAAGTTTTGTTCAGTAGCAATTTCCCTTAGCAGTTTTAAAGCGTGATTTAAATATTTTTATCAGTTCCTTGACAGGTTAATGGGGTACATGGACAGGAGGCTTCTGCTTTATCCCCTGCAGCCCTGACAATTGGAGGTGTTGCCTGGCTCAGCTCCTAGAGGAAGGAATAACTTGCACTTCTCTCCAGTGATTTCCCGATGCTTACTGGTGGATAGCAGACATGATTCACTGCAGAAGGTACTGCTGAGTGCTCCCAGGTATCTGATCTGCCAAGAAAAGCTGGTAGCATCAGCTGCCATAAGATCTCCCTCTCCTGAGGAGAGGCTGTTGTCAGCCCTGAATGCTGACATCCAGTGCTGGGGAGCTGTGTTAGAAGCTGACTGAAAACGTGGTGCTGTTATTATCTGACACGGCTGAAACAAAAGCCAAACGTTGATGAATGTCTGATCCTAAAAGTAAACAGTTTGATTTTTTTTTTCCTTTGCGAGTCAGGGGCCCTCTAGGGTTTTATCTGATTTTGGCAATCTCCTGCACATTTTGGGGCCTGGAGCATGGTTTTAATTGTTACATCACAAAAGTTGCCAAATAATGTTGGATGCTCCTTAAAAACTCTCCCAATTTTATGGAACTTCTCAACGGCTTGACTAATACAATAATTACTGGAACTGGGCTATGTTGCCTAGTGGCAAATGGAATTTTTTCATAATGATCCTGTCTGTCGTTAATAGCAGGATTTGTTCTTTCTCTCAGCGGGAGAGAGGCCAGAAAGCCATGGTATCTGTCTTTTTTAATGACAGCCAACAGCAAACGGATAAAATAATCAATTATATCCACAGATAGGTAGATAAAGGATAATTTATCATGTCAAAAACAAAAATGTTTTTAATTGGGCTGTTAATCATTTTGTAATTTTAACTAAAGAGATGGGGACTCTACTTTGTGTTCAGACATCACTAATATTTCATACAGCATTAGCTGGTCTTATTATAGCTTTAATAATAGTGTTTACCACTAACTGCCAAAATATGAAATGCCCTTTCTGCTCTCATTAGCTGGAGCCTTTGCAGTTATAAAAGGATGCCCTTCCCTTCTATTTTTCTTCTTCTAGAAAGATCCAGAAGGAAAAAAGAATGGGGTTCAGCGGACTAATCAGCTGTAACAGTTCTTAAAATATGCTGATCTTCATGTTTGGTTGTCAGTACCCATACTAGTTACCAACAAACTTGTTACAGAAATGATGATATTTTACTTTTTTCTTTTTTTTTTTTTTTTTTTTTTTTTAGAAAAAAGCGTATAAAGAGATTAGTAGAACGCAGCAGAAATTGGAAGCTTGCAGTTTTGGTTTCTAGCCACACCTGTGTTGTGTTGTGGGGAGCTGGGCAGAGCATTTAATCCCTCCTAACTTGTTCCCCATGTCTGTAATGCAGTTATTAGATAGCTGCATCGTCAGGCTGCTGTAGAGTATGGAGGTGGTGTAAGATTCATGAAAATCTGCAATAAAGATGGCAAACATCTGGATGGCTGGTGCAATAGCAGCCTCTCTGACAGCTACCTCTTTGAGGGAAGAAATGGGAAGTTTATGGCTGGACCTAAATCTTGCCCGTAACATAAGTGAGGATGTCCTGCCAGTGCTGCCTTCAGGGCCAGGGAGGAATCATTAGCAGGAAAACCTCACAGCACTGGGCTGCTTTGGCTGTCCACACTTTGGTTATTACTCCTGTATGCCATGAGCAGATGCCCTGTGTGGGACCAGATCTCTATTTTACCTATAAATTCGACATTAAAAAAATGCCAGCCATGCTCAGAAAAGAAATGTTGTGAGCCCTTTGCCTCAAACACACTGAAATTACTTCCCTGCAGAGACAAATTATTCTCCATTCCCCTGGATTTGGTTTCCCTCTGAAAAGCTCTACCTGCCTTCAGTGAAGATCCGGCCTCAAGAGTACCTGTTTGGGAGCAGAACATGCACTCAAGGTAGTTTGGCCAGGGCAGATTTCACTTCCAGTGTTAGGGTGGATGTTTTTGGCCGTTGGTTTAATTTTATGTCCATAGCATCTCCCATGGAATACAGTGAGGGACAGCACTGCCCTTCCTGTACTTGGATCTTTCCTGGGAGCGAGGGAAATGGAGTGGATTGAGTGGATTTTGTCCAGGTCTGATGGCAGGATTGAGGCTGTATTCACACTGAGAAGCAGGGAGGAGAGGCATAAATAAATTGGAGGTGCACAAACATTCAGAAGTTCCCAGAGAGTCACGTTGCACAAGTTAATGGGCCTGGTTCTTCACCTGTGCCAATTTTATGTGACTCTTAACTCTGGTGTTAAATAAAAACGAGACTCACTCTAATGACATCAACAGCCTTCAGTGGAGAAAATATGCTGCTACTTTGATACAGATCCCCTTTTCAGGAGGACACAGTAGACAGCCAAGGTTTGTTTTCCCATCTGTTAGGTGAATGTAACGATTCCCTGCTCAGAAGTGTGGGCTCAACAACACTCCTCCACTCTCAGCATTACACTGGATGATTTTATTGAGACCATGGTTATCTGGTGCCCCTGCTTTTGCCACCTTCATTTTACTCTCCCTCTCCATTACATGAAAGGATGGAAAAGGGGGACATGAGTTGGCTGGGGGAGGGGGTTAAAAGAACCAGCTGTTATGTGTGAGGTATCTGCTTTCTAATTGCTTCTGTTGGAATTCAGGGGGAAAAGGCACTGGCTTCAGTTAATTAATAAGGCAGGACTCACATAAACTCCAGCTGTGAGCACAGGACTGGTCTTTAAAGGATAAGCCCAGGAGGTGGGGCAGGGGGTTTGGTTTCCTCACACTAAATCCCATCACATGCTGGTGGTGGTGTGTGTGTCCACTTAAGCCTTTTGGTTGGCCTGTCTGAACCAGACAGGAGGTGTCTGTTGCTGCCCACGTGCCTCGCCCCAAGAAAAATGATCTGTCCTCAGAAATCAAAGATGGGAGGCCGTGTTTCAAGCTAGGGTGGAACTGCTGTGTTTTCACTTCAGTTTGGAATCCCTAAAAAGTGGGTATGTTTGGATCAAAGATTTTTGTTCAGACTTAACAAAAGCATGGGCTTCTGCAGCTGGACCCAGATAGAGGTTTGCCCTTTGGTCCTCTTTTCTGTCAGAGGGCTTGGATTTGGCATCCTGTCAACATCTCTCTCTTCAAGGGTAGCACTGGTGGGGTGGCTGTGCAGCTGATGCCTCCAGACCATGTCCAAAGGCCATTTTACAGGGATCCCTTTGAGAAGAACAATGCACAGTTCATTTCTCTGTTTTTGAGAGGGGCTCAAAAAGATCAGGACTTTTCTTGAGTTACAGACAATGTCCCTAAAGCCCATATGAGCATGCAAATGCCACAGTGTTTCCTCCTTTGGTCCTGCTCCAGGTCTCGCTGCCACGAGACGTCCCCCACCACCAGTGCAGGTCTTTCTAGTCTGAGAACAGCTCGGGGGCTGTGCTGAGACCAAAGTCTTCTTCCACTTCCCATGGGATGGCATCTCTGCATTTCAAAGCTTGTTGTTTAAGTGTGTTATGTTAGGGAACAGTGGAATCAGAAAAACAAGGTGGAGGGGATGTTCCTATGTGGTTGAGAGCCTGTTTTTCCTCAGTGGTTGTGGAGGGAAATGAGCTTGTGGAGGGAAACCTTTGTGTCCCGACTGGCACGATCCTTTCGGTGCCACCACTCAGGGCAGGTCTCTGTCAGTGGGAGGGCTCTCCCTGCCAGACCCTCTCCTTTCCTGGCACCATGCTCTTGCCTTGCATCAGCCCTGACGCTCCTCAGGTGAGTGCTGGGGCCAGCCAAGGGAGGGGACATGGCCATGGGGCTGCAGATGGGCTGGGAAAGGAGGGGCACAGAGAGCCCAGCTGTCAGATCTCACCGTGCTCCCTCAGGAACCTCCCAGCCCGAGCATCCCCGAGCAGTTGGTGTTTCACTGCCCCTGCCTCCAGTGCCAGCTCAGCCTGCTGTGGGACTAAACACACAGGTACATGATTAGGAAGAAACACACAGGTACATGATTAGGACTAAACACACAAGTACATGATTAGGAATAAACACACAGGTACATGATTAGGAAGAAACACCCAGGTACATGATTAGCCCCAGTCCCTCGAGCTGGACTTCCCCCCCTAGAGAAGAACAGCTCTGGGTTGTTGGAGCTGGTTTCCAGGCAGGCGAGGTGGGGCTCGCTCTGCAGCGCTCTATAAACAGCAGCTCTTTGTCTCCTCCGTGTCTCCTCACCCTGAACATGTTGCTGCTCTCAGAGGTTGGTTTCAAAGTGCTGATTCACAGCCACCAGCCCTATTGTTTTATCTGAGGAGATTAGGGCTGAGAACGCTGCGGTTTTGTAGCGAAAAGACTCCATTGGAAATAACATATTTGACATGAGACTGTTATTTATGCTCAAATAACCATCTCGTTTAAAGATGAGGAGTCTCTTTTTTTTTCCTTTTCAAGTTTAGATCAATCATGTATGAAGACAAACTCCCACTCAGCCTCCCTTGGCCCCTAATATTTTCATTTCATTCTTCTTCTGCTCATTATTTTATGATTTTGTCCTTGACTGGAACATTTCTCTCTTGTTCTTCCTTACATGCACCATTAAAGAGGGAAAGGACTTACATTTAGAGTTCAAGACTTGTGTAGCTCTTAAGCCATAAATAATGTTTTATACAGATTCTAAGATTATGAAATCCTTCTAGTTAGCCTCCCTTTTTCTTTTGCTGCTCGTCTGATTAGAGGAGACATATTCTTTTGAAACTTAACTATTTCTGTTTCACTTTTGCAGGCAGACATGAGAAGACAGGAGCTGGCTGTGTGCACTGCTGATCAGAACACTTGCCATAGAAGTGCAGAAAAGCTTGCCTGCAAGAGAACTGATTGTTGGCATGGAAGAAAAGCCCTAAAATTCGGAGATGCAGTCGACTTCCCGAATACAGGCAAGTCTACAATTGAAACTGAAATCTGTGTGTCTGGGGAGATAAATGCTTTCAAAATACACTTTCTGGAGAGGGCTGACAGGCCCAGAATCAGTGAAACGAATGCTCTGGCATGAGGACATAGTTATGCTCAGGTAGTAACAGGTTTTGGACAGCTGTAGGGCTGCCCCACTGGGCTCTGTGCTTTGCACCCCATCACTCCATACCAGCTTCTTTTGATCCCAGCGTCACTGAGCCAGGCATCAGCTTTTCCCCACAAAGGCAGCCAAAGCAGCTGCTGCAGCTTGCAGAGATCCTGAGACTACAGTGCTGAGCTGCTCTTCCCTCTGCTCAGCTCAGGGAGCTCCTCGGGGGAACAGCCCCTGAGTCAGGCCTTGTGGGGTTCCAGACTGTGGGCTGAGCACAGACAGGGGAAACAGCACCACCAGAGTGACTGAGAAGTGCTGAAAAGCCTCACAGTAACAGCCTACACAGTGAAATTATCTCTTCCAATTAGCCCCCACGGTCATCAGGGAGGCAAATCCTCTGCCTCCTGGGCCAGGCAGGCTGGTTTAAATGGTAGGCATAAATCTATTGTTTTTCTCCTCATGATCCAGCATATTCTGCCAGGGCAGTGCAGACTCCAGAGAAGGAGCAGAATTTCTATGTACAATAAAACAATAGTTTGGGTGATATCAGCTGTTTGACAAACTTTAATATCCATTTGCTATAAACAGGCAGCAATTGCCAGAATGTGATACCCAAATAAAAATCCATGATCCATTTGCATGACAGATCTTCAATTTACTCACATTCATGTGAAAGAGACACATAAAAATTATATCCATGCTTAAAGTCACTTAGGAGCAGCCTAAAAGACCCCACAGTTGCAAGTGATACTGCAGTACTTAGCTAATACTCATGTTTCCATGGCTTTGCCTTCAGGATTCTTCCAGTGGTTCCTTTATGTGTTCTGGTATTTTGCCAAACACCTGTGAATCAGTGCACAACAAATACTCCTGCCATTTAATTAAGCCTTGCACAGAAAGGCTGTATTAGGCCTGATGCAGACATAATCCCAAGCCTCTAAAGAGGTTTAAGGCACTCTGGTTTCACCTAATCCCGAAACCTACACCAGAATCACTGAAAACCTCCAGAGCACCACAGGAATGGGCAAATAGAGAGTTTCCACTATAAAATTATTAAAAGGACACAGTGTATCTTTTGGATTTGAGACCTAAAGCTTTGCCTAAGGAGCTTGGACTGTCCACAATAAAAGTGTTTATTTTGAAGGTAGGAGGTTGAAAGGTTTATTTGACTAGAGGGCTGATTTCACCCCTCCCACCCAAAAAAAGAAGAGAGGTGATCCCCCAGGAGAGTGGCAAATGGGACAGGGGTGAAGAAGTGACAAGGCAGGGGCAGCCCAGCAAAGCAGCCAGAACAAGTGAAGGCCAGGTTTCAGTTTAAGCCTCAGTCATGGTCCCTGGGAGAAAGAGCAAGAGCTCAGCCCCTGGTGCACAGCTGGGCTGTTGGGTCCTCGAGTTCCTCCCAGCAAACATGTCAGGAAAGAGTTATTTATGATATAAGAAACACATTGCTGCTGTTCAAAATGGAGAATTCGCTCTTTCGAGATCTCTTTCTGATGGGAGATAACATGTAAAAACGTGCTGTAATGGAACTCTCAATTACAAATTGCATCCAACTGTAACAAATTCGATCTTGCATTAATTCATGTTAAATTAATTGGATTCTGTCATTCCTGAATTCTGGTAACCACCTTATCTTGCCACACAACTCATTATCTTTGTGTTGGGAAAGGGGTATTTCATTTTCCAGGCAACTGTAGGGAATATTAACTGTACCATACTCTAATATAAACATCCAGCCCCTAACAAATTAAAGACCTGAAGCACATTGCACATGTGGTTTCATTATGCACAGCAATTTATAGCAATGATCTGCTGCTCTCAGTCTCTTAATTCAAATCATTTCAGCAAAACATGTAGGGAAACGTGGGGCTGTAGTTGTGCATTCTGCAGTCCTGAAGGTGTTTCTCCTAATAATGAGGGGCACGACCTCCTCAGTGTGCTGT